TTTATTTCTCTAAGTGAAACATAAAGGACAAATATATAATATAAATATATAGCCCTATCTGTCCTCTAAAAAACAATATATAATATGTGTGGGTGCACTTAGTAAGAATGTATATTACTGCCGTGGAAGAATCACACAGCAAGAATGTTAAAAGTATGTCAGTAATGAACCTCCCTGGCAGTATGATTCTTTTGATTTTCGTTATTTTTTCAGCGCAATTTTTTTTGTTATTTTATTTTTTCGTTTTTTCGAATTTCCCGCCGGTTCCGCCCCCGTGCGACGTGTACGCTCGCAAGGGACGGAGCCCGGAAGACAGATGCCGTCGCCGGCCGGAGGACACCGCACGGCTCGAGGGACAAGGTAAGTAAATACTGTGGTATATTCCCGAGTGTAGCTCAGGGTATGGAGAAGTAACCCCGAGCTACACTCGGGAATACCGCCAAGGAGGTTAATGAACAGAAACTAAGTCAGTCTCATGACTCAGTCATGAAGGGGTTAACTAATGAATGTAAGAAAAAAAAATCACATCAGTATGCACATACTGATGTGATTTTTTATGAAAGGTGGTAAAGGTCCGCATTAACTAATTTTGTGTGAACAGAAGCAAGATGTGTATTTCACCATATGGCAGATGTACTCCTGGTACACATATAGGTATTTACTTACAGGAAGAGAAAGGTTCACCATGAATATATTTAAAAATTGTTATGTAGCACTCACTTTTCTGCACCAAATCTAGGTGCAGGTACATGGAAAGACCAACAAGTAAGTGATGTGGATGTTGATCACCATAAATCACCATATTTCTGCTAAAGTCTCTTAATGTGGCACATGGCGATGTAGGACAAGTAAGACACGTACTTTATGTGGCCAAATACATTCCTGACAACTTGTTAAGGTTTACTGTGAGATGTTCATGCTACTGCTACCGCTACTACTAATAAAACATTGTTTTTGTTAATATTATTATTTTATAGAACTTCACTCATTTATGTGCAGCTTTTGCAGTTTCTGGGATTTTTTACAGACATTAACCAGTTGACATCCGCGGTGTTAAACCCCCTTCCCATCCAGGCCATTTTTCAGTATTCAGCGCTGCGGTAATAGGAGGCAGAAGGGTGAAATAGTCCCACGCCAGATTATATACTCCAAATGGATACTGGGTTGTTGTTCTATGGTAAGAAAGGGTTATCTTTGGATAAATCAGGACATCAAATCAAAACTGTATTCCATTCTATAAGCTGATTACACTGATGAATAATGCAGTTCAGCATGAATTATTGCATTGATTAGTTTTATGCTGTTATATCAAAAACTGTGTATGATGCACATAGCAAATTGCTATTGTAAGCTGAAAAGAATCATAGCACAGAAGTAACAAAAACACAGTAAATTAATAGAACCACAGATCATGGGGCTTCCTTTTTTATGTTGGTTTAGCTGTATAGTACCGGATCTGAATGTTTCTTACAGCTGAGGTTTGATCCTAATTAACAGCTATTTGCAACTAGGGATAAGGAGAAGCTGGTCACTGTTCAATCAAACAACAGTTTAAAGGGTTCATAAAAGAGTTCATGCTACCAGGATCACTTGTCAAACTAGTAAACTTATTACTCCATAATGACTGCCTCCCAACAGAACCGTCATATACTTCTAAATATAATGTACTGGTAAGTGTACAATGTGAATAAAGTTCATAAACAGTCTACCTTTCCTGCAGTTGTGATGCCCTAGGTCCAACGAGTTCTTTTTCTTCACTATATTATTACTCTGATATGTGTGAGTGCACATGAAACATGTACATATCTGTTGTTTTGTATTTGTTCAATTTCAGATGTTCTTTGTTTCTTTTATGTGTTTTTCCAGCCACACTTAAAGAGCTCATCTCACAAACAATGGTGCGCTGGGCACAAGAAGACCACATCCAAGACCCCGAGCTTGTGCGTATCATGTTTAGCCTCCTACGTCGACAGTATGATAGTATTGGAGAGTTACTACATGCCATGCGGAAAACCTATACAATCAGTGCTGCCTCTGTGGAAGATACCATTAACCTGTTGGCTTCTTTGGGTCAAATACGATCCCTTTTAAGTGTGCGAATGGGCAAGGAAGAGGAAATGCTTATGATTGATGGCTTAGGGTATGGCTTTCTAATTTTCTGCTGCTTAGTTTTTCTTCAAAGTATTCATATCTTTGGAAATATTGTTCATATTTAGACTTCATAGTCTTGTTTACTTGTAAACATTTTTACATTCCAATTAAAATGAATCTATATTAAAATCTTTATATATAGCATTTTAGTTACTAAAGGCAAATCAGCTTTCACTTTCCCTTAGCTTGGTGAATGTGGTGAAAATTCACTTTGCAAAGACTATCCAATCACGTGTAAGAAAAAAAAGTGTTTTTACTTGCACCTGATTGAATAATGGAAGTCAGCAGAGTTTCACTTCATTCACTAAGCTAACAGAATATTCCCTTGCAACGTGAACAGCCTATTTGCCTTTAGTAAATCAACCCCTAAATATCATCTTTTGTTGGGAACAATAAATAAAGATGAATAGGAGTGCTGAAATCATTCATCATGTGCCCACATCTGGACATAGCTGAAGAAGCATTTTAGCCCCTATCCCAGCAAAACTGCTAAAATAGCTTTTTGATAGCATTTGAATATAGGACCACTATAAGCAGCTATTGGAAAATGGTGGAACAATATCTACTGCAGCAAGGGTTCTCAAATTTTTTCATCCAGTAGTGTAAATTTTAATTTGTGCACTATGCCTTATGGTATGTAAAGTTGTCTTACCAAGAGACCTTTCTATAGTTTAATCATGTAGTTTATAACATTGAACAGCTGATAATTACAGTGTCCAGAGGACAGTTTCATTTCATTTTTCATAGAAATCCTTCTCTGGACTTGCTTGACATTGCTGGGATGTCTCCTCTTTGACTTGGGAAACCAGTTCCACTTTTCATTACAGTCTACATTTTTCATGACAGTGATGGGAAGTATAGCTTAGTACGTTCAGAATGTCAGTGTACTGCTCACTTCTCATTTTCTAACAAAATTCTGTTCTTGTTGCAAAGCAGGCTGAAGTAGTCATGAAGATATCATGTTAGAGAGTTACAAATCAATATTTTAAGGGGAGGAGGCAGGTAATTCAGTCAATTCATTTTATTGCTTTCTATTACTCATTGGCTGGAAGCATTGCTGCAAATTTGATCATTCGGGTGTTATTTTCTCTAAATAAGGAAGTTATCCCTGGTAGAAATACTTCTATTTGCTTTCAGTGACATCATGAACAACAAGGTCTTCTATCAGCATCCGAACCTGATGCGTGTTTTAGGGATGCATGAGACTGTTATGGAGGTCATGGTGAATGTTCTAGGGGGAGACAAGTCTCAGGTAATCTAATTTACAATAACTGTACAAAATATTCTATTAAAATGTAGACTTTTTTGTCTGTTGTGTAGTAAAACTAAAACATGTCACAATTTCTGTTTTACAGCAAATTGCTTTTCCCAAGATGGTGGCAAGCTGTTGCAGATTCCTCTGCTATTTTTGTAGAATTAGTCGGCAAAATCAAAAGGCCATGTTTGAGCATCTAGGTTACTTATTGGAGAACAGTAGTGTTGGTTTAGGTATGTCCTCTCATCATCTTTTATTTTATTCATACAGGGAAAGATTATCAGAACTGGTTACGGTACTTTGTTTTAGATAAATGCCTAATGGTCTTACTCAGTTCTCAAAGTTCAACAACCTCAAGACTTTAAAGAATCTGTCAAGTAATCAAAATGTCCCCAGTATCAGCCCAGAAAGTTAAAAGCAGCCCACCTGGTCTGTCTCCATTGCAGCAATCTTCACTGTGCAACCTTACTTGGAGCCTCACCTCCATTTTTTTTAGAAATGCTGGGTCCTCTTTATTCTGCACATGCGTGTCTTGGCCCCATGTATTGCTATGGGACGATCCATACTCTGCAGGACCACTGGAGACCAGCATGAGTATGACTCCCCATAGGAATAAATAGGGCTATGGCGCACAAGCGCACAATAAAGAGGGCCCAGTTAGGATGCTTTCTGAATAAAGGCTGTGCAGATCCAAGCAGGGACTAACAGTAAAGATAGCTGAAAGGGGGGCAGAGGTAAGTATCTGACCAGGTAGGCTGCACTCAGGAGGATAGGACCAAGAGCAGATGGTATAGCTGTCCTTTAACATAACCCCTATCAATACATTATCCTTCAATGTTCATCCTTCTCTCTTTGCGTGCTAAAGGTAATAATGTTAAAGCACAAACTCTCTCATTGAGATCTAACATTACTAGGATCTTAATGGAGAAATAAAATGGTTTCATAGCATCCTGATTCATGTTGACAAATTCATAAGCAAAACACTTTAGTTTATTTCTAATTCTGTAAATTTGAGGTTAGCTAACCAGGGAAGAGCTTCGTGTTTGGGTGAAGCATAAGTTCGACCCAAACCCAGCCTATTTTCAGTTCAATGTATGGGTGAACAAAATTAACAGGTTTGGTCAGTTAGCTTGCCTGTCTGAAACTTCAGCTGATGCAGCTGCAAGTCTTTCATTTGGCAGTGGGATCACTACTGCCTCTAAATGACAGCCTTTTATTGGCTTGTTTCAAATTGTGAACAAGCCGGTGGGTATCCCAGATGATCATGACTATATTTGTCAATTACATCACCCAGCATCCCCAGGTGGTTTGATGACATTCAACAGCTGGTTGGGGATTGTGATTTGTGGAAGTAGTACCGTGTACCCCATTACTTATTTGCATGCCCTTCCATGCAAGGCACCTTGTTTCCATGGCTTTAACCACATGACTCCCCAGTTTTTTTTTCCTCCCTAAATTCCCTTAAAGGGTAAGTTTACTTTTTCACAGAAAATCATCATGGGTCAGCACGGTCACATGACCATGATGACCAATAAGAAGTGCTTCTGAGCCAGAGAGCAGGTCCTGAAAGTAAGAAGCACTTCTCATTGGTCAGTGTGATCATGTGACTGACGGATGAGCACTCGCCTTTTGCGAGCATTATAATCATTACAGACTGCAGGGCTGTGAAGTGCAGTGTACAGTTTACAGACTGTTACACAGGCTGACGCAGGGAATCACAGAGGTGGGTGCAGCAGGGCAGTGCAGTGCTGTGAGTGAAGTGATGTGAGTGCAGTGATGACATCTCTACACTCCCAATGTAAATAGAATGTGCAAGCATTCTGTTTTCTTTTATTTTCATAGCACTCTCTTATGGAGTGCACCGTAAAAGTATCAGAGAGCCCAGGAACTGATTTTTATCCGTTTTAAAACAACACTGTGACAAACAACCACTATCCAAATACTGTTTTTTCAATGGTAGCTAGAACTCAAGACGATAACAATATCTTGAAAATTAGCCTTGAAAAAGGGCAGAAAAGATCCAGCTCTGATAGACATTAATGGGGTTCCACCGCTATGTTCTTGGTTTGTGGATCTTCCACTGGATTCGGCCAACACCCTATTAGCTAAGACTTAGTTTATTGTAATCTATACAATCTTCTGCCATAGATTTTTGTTGCTCTGCCAGCTCATTTCATTTTATGTATTTATCAGCTGTAAGTAGTTTGTATGGTATATTTAGAAGAAAGATTGGATTGCCCTATGCATTAGTACAAGTTTTAGAGTCTACAGATACATACTTAATTATAACATTAAAGCATATTTAAACCCTCTGTTGTTTTGCATGTATCTACTGCTAGCAAGCAGTAGATATATGCAAAAACATTAAAAAAAACAAAAAGTCACCAAGGGTTTTACTTACCCGTGTCTCCACCACTCGCTCGCGTCCGAAGATCTGAACATTTTTTGAGGGTCGCGTAATATCATGGAGTGGGCACATGCACAGTAGGGATCTTCGGCCGGCAGAAGAGGAGAGACACAGGGTAAGACAGTGCACGCGCACAGACTCCGTGGGACAGGAATACACAGCAGCCGGTGCTGGACCAGAGACCAGCACCAGCGCTGGAGGTATTGCTGAAAACTACCGGAAAGAAGAAGATGATTGGCTCAAGAGGCATCATTTAAGGTAAGTCCTTAAAGCAGCATTGGGGGTGGGGGTAAATGTTATCCTTTAATGTCACTTTAAGCTCTGTTAACAGTCTTGCTGGGGTAAATAAATATAGAAAAGCAGAAGGGATGTAATATGCTGCTTCAGATTCCCCTTCATTCTGGTCACATGTCTGAAAGCCTAGGCTCTAAGGCTTTTGATCTCTGATGGGGAAGAAGAGAGTTCAAATTGGCTGCCCCTTTCCCTTCAACAGAAATCACATGGCCAAGTCCTTAGACAAGACAGTTGCTGACATATGGCACCAAAACTGGTGAGAACTTGGGGCAGCATTTTTTTCTTGGAAAGGTAATCATTTCACATTTTGCATCACTTTTATCCATTCTAGCAAGAAGGGTAACAACTTTTATAGTATGTCATGGATGTTATTTTAAATCCATCGGATCTTACATTTTTAAATATATATTTTGGTGCTTTTAAATCCTGCAATTTCAATTTTATTGGTGTGAGTAAATTTGAACAGACCTTACATCTGCAAAAACCTTCAAAAACTGTAGAAAGACTGTTGTCTACTTGTTTTCACTATGTGCATGCAATCTCTCTATAGCATCTCCGTCTATGAGGGGATCTACACCTCTAGATGTCGCTGCTGCATCTGTAATGGACAACAATGAGCTTGCTTTGGCTTTGCAAGAACCAGACTTGGAGAAGGTAAATTATCTGTAAACAACCAGAGAGTTGATGAATTGTAATCCTTTCCCTAACCTTAATAAAGATGTAAAAATTGCATGCTATTTGCTAATAGAATGCAGACTGTCAAAGCCCTCAATAAAGATTAGGAAAAAACAGCTAGTTCTAAATTTCCAGTGATTATATTTGTACAAAAAAACCTGTCCTTGGCGAATAATTAAATCCCCTTAACGCTTTTGTGGAGATTGCTTACCTGCGGTAATATGTATCTTACCATATCAGGTTACATGTGATAGTGCTGAGGTGGTGTAATGTTAACACAGAATTACTAACACACAAAAATATTGATGTCAGCATCCAGTTGCAAATGGCTTCCATCTATTACACAAAAAAATCCCACAGTCATGAATGCACTACTTTAGTTGCAGGTACATCTACATTTTCTTTGCAAATAAACCAGTGTATAAATGTATATGCAAATTCTGTGGTCACCATGGTGACTAGCAACCTATAATATTTGTTTAACATTCGCCTGCAGTAATTACCCTAAACATATCTGATCAGATCTGCAAGAACGCCCCCTTACAATCTGTTACACTCTGCATATTATAACCGCAACTCCCTTATGCTCTATTCTAAAATTTCTAGGTACTGGCAAATATTATGTCGTACCACCAACTGTTACCTTTAGCAAACAGATATATAACAATATATGTGGATACCAGATTTCACAACCCAGATACTTCCTGAAAAACCAACAGTTTATAAATTGTGTCTGACTATTTAAATGTTTTGCTTTTTATTATGTAGAGCGTATCTAAACCTGAAAACAGAAATGTTAAAGGAGAACTATGAGGTGAGTGAAAAGCACTCACCTCATAGTTCTAGCCGACCTGTGACAATGAGACTGTCACAGGTCGGCTCAGTAGATCGGGAGGTGAGCGAACACATACCGGCATTCGCTCACCTCTCGATCCTGCCACGGCTCTCTGCCGTGACAGGGGAGGGGCTTGATTCCCCCCTCCCCGCTCCGATCCGCCAGCGCTGGCTGGAGGAACGGACGGGGCAGGGGGCGGGTACAGCTGGCTGTGCCTCTAGATAGGCAGAGCCAGCTGTCAGTCACGCAGCTGGGCGGATCCCGGCATAATTGTCGGGATCCGCTTCAGCTGCGGCGTCTCAGTATACCGCTAGCAGCAGCTCGCGGTATACTGAGCCTAGGCTGACGGGAGGACGCTAGTTTGTGTCCTCCCGTTACCCTAAGGAGAACTATGGGGAAAAGCCTTAACCCCATAGTTCTCCTTTAATATATTGCAACTAACTAGTCCTTAAAGGAGAACTATGGGGGTTAGGGCTTTTCCCCATACTTCTCCTAAGGGTAACGGAAGGACACAAACTAGCGTCCTCCCGTCACCCAAAGCTCAGTATACCGCGAACTGCAGCTTGTGGTATACTGAGACACCGCAGCCGGAACAGATCCCGACAATTATGTCTGGATCCAACCAGCTGCGTGAGTGACAGCTGGCTCTGCCTATCTAGAGGCAGAGCCAGCTGTAACCGCCCCCTCCCCCGTCCGTTCCGCCAGTCAGCGCTGGGGGATCGGACAGGGAAGGGGGGAATCCAGTCCCTCCCCTGTCACGACTCTCTGCCGCCACAGGATCGAGAAGTGACCGAGCGCCGGTATGTGTTCGCTCACTTCCTGATCTACTGAGCCGACCTGTGACCGTTTCATTGTCACAGGTCGGCTCAGATTATGAGGCTGAGTGAAAATCACTCACCTCATTGTGACACTAAACTCAGGAGTTTAATCTTAAAAAATGCATTCATGTACCTTAACCATTCACAAAATTGTACCTTTTTTGTGCATCACTGGGCTGTAGATCCTCAAATCATCTATGATGTTTTGCTGCCATTGTCCTTCATTCTGGAGGGTGGCTACTTGTGTTCCCCATGGCCCCTGTGTGTGTTGTAAAGTAGACACCGCTCCAAGCTCGCTCCCATGATGGACTACAATCTCAATACAAATTAGTAAACTAAACGTGAGATTGTGTCTTAGGGTGGTTCTACACTGCGGAGGAAAAAAAAACAACCCTTGCACAGCAGCATTGTCACCCTTGTAGAGGGTAATGTGAGATGGAATGGCATATTTATATGGACTTGACAAATTAATTCCGAACTCCAGCTAACACTTTTTAAGCAGTTAAAGCAACAGCTCTTTTTTTCCCTTTGGGATAAAGGTTTTACATAAATGAATAAAAGCTGACCATTGTAAGCACCACTGTCAGTGGTAAATGTTTTTGTTTTTTTCTCAACCTTCTATCTGCTACTTTTGCTGGACATTTTGATCTGTTATCCTGTGACCCCAAACTCAGCCTATAGCGCAGACCATTTTATTTGTAGACATATTAGTAAACCAAATAAGGTAAAGTAGAGTTCCAGCCCACATATTATTTGTTTGTATTGTGTGAGAAAGGGTTACAGCCTCTCTCAGTCTTTTATTTCTTTAACTTAGGCAGTTGCACACCCATTGACAAGGCTGCAATTGCTGAAAGGTATAAGACTCTATATTGTTACAGTTCTTTTGTACACAGTCAGTTGAAGGGACCCTGTGCGGCCCCAAAAGCGCTTGTGTTTTTGACATGAGTTTTTACTAAACCCACAATTGATTATCCTTGAAGGAACTTGGTGTGCTGGTGACATTTTTCATAATGTGTGCAATTGGCGGTGCCATCCGCAGTCATTCCGAGCACCCTTCCCTGATTACGGGACTTTCCGGTAAGGGGTACAACAAGCCTTTTCCATCATATTCAAGAATATGGCTCTGTCTTCACAATTTTTGCATGCATAGCTGCACCCTGTTGAATACTCACCTATGTACATTAGACATGTAAGTTTTGTTTCGTTCTGAATAAAAATTTGGACACATTTCTTTAAATTCAGACATTCGGATGTATCCAAATTTTTTAATTCAAATTTATCTGAATGCACCTGAATTTCAGATGCATCAGAACGAATCCCAATTTTTTTAACAAAAGTCAGACATATTTAGTTAAAAATCAAACTAAATCTACTGGAGCTGGCCACATGTAGGAAAAGGGGACAGAAGATTAAAGATTTATCTACCAAACTGGAAATGATTGATAGAGACCTGAAGAATACATTTGATAAAAAGTTGTTACAGCAACTGAACTCTGTTAAAACCGAATCAGACCTCCTGCTAGATCAATAATTGGAAAAATCCACCGGCTGGTCAAAACATAAGATATATTCTAGAGCTAATAAACCTGGATATATGTTAGCACGCAAGCTGAATGCTTTATCAACTTGTGCTGCTCCTCTCAGACTAAGGGATACTCAAGGCTACATAACTTCCAACCTGGATGAGATACTTCACCTCTTTTGCAGTAATCTAGGGAAATTTTAAAACCAAACCAGATAAAGACCTCTTGGACCGGAAAACTATTGACTTATATCACTCTTAAATGTTGATATTCAAATACTTACAAAAATGTTAACCTCGCTTTAATGTCTACTACCTACTATCATGCATAGGGACCAGGTGGGATTTGTCCCTTCCAGACAAGCCGGTGACAATATTAGAAAGATTATTCACCTTGCGCATGTCTTACACTCAAGAGGTGTCCCCGGGACATGCTACTGTCTTTAGATATACAGCGGGCATTTGACTCCATTTCATGGGATTATTTATGGTATATCTTAATTAAGTGGGGACTTTGTGGTTCCCATATAACGTGGTTACAGGCTCTCTATGCTGGTCGCCTGCCCTACCTTCCTCTCCATTTATAAATCGCTTTAATGTCTTCTTACCTACTATCATGCATAGGGACCAGGTGGGATTTGTCCCTTCCAGACAAGCTGGTGACAATATTAGAAAGATTATTCACCTTGCGCATGTGTTACACTCCAGAGGTGTCCCCGGCACGCTACTGTCTTTAGATATACATTTGACTCCATTTCATGGGATTATTTATGGTATATCTTAATTAAGTGGGGAATTGGTGGTTTCCTTATAACGTGGTTACAGGCTCCTTATGCTGGCCCTATGGCCCAAATTAAATACCTAGGACTGGTATCTACTAAGATCACCCTTTCACCGGTGCTCTTTGCCTTCGCCATTGAACCACTAATGTATCTTATTTGAGCCAATCCTAATGTGAAGGGTATTCAGCTGGCGGGTGTAGAATACAAGACTAATGTATTTGCTGATGGTGTCATGTTGACACTTACTCAACGCCACACAACTATCCACAATCTATTGGAAATCCTAAAATCATTTCAGCCGTTTCTGGTCTAGTGGTAAATTGGAGTAAATCTGCAGCTTTAATTTCTGGTATACAACTGAAGGTTTCACCATATGTTTGAAGTTCCACCGATTATATACACTCCTTTAGATACACAGTTCATAAGATACACAGGGTTAGAATGTCTGAGTCTATGGTGCTGGTTTATAGGCATGCAAATCCGAATTGCATTCAACTAAACATTCAAGTCACTTAAAGACACAGTTCATGACTGAGTATGCATGATCAGTGTGGAATATCTACTTGTGGATAGGGAATACACAAAGTCGCTTCGCTTGAAATAAGTGTAACTGACAGAAGTCCTTATAGACACAGTTCATAAATATGTACACAGAATCAGTAAGGAGGTATACTTGCGATTGAGAGTGATGCAGGTCCAACGCACAACATCTGGCATTCCCTAGTTGAAGTTCACAGAAAGGGAACTGGAGTTCCTGAGTAGCGAAACAAATCCTCAGGGCTGAGTGGGAGCCGTTGCTATTGGAAACAACACGCAGGATACTCACTGGCCAAGCTCCTAGGATTCCAGGGTAAGGCAGAATTCAGCTTTGAAGTCTGACTCCAAAAGAAAGTTGCACAGGATTCAGGATGCAGAGCATTAACAGCTCAGGTAAGTTCCGGGTGAAGAGCAGGTAGGAGCTGCAGGGAAGCCCAAGGTATAAGAATTTCTGTGAGGCTGCAAGGTAAGGATGGAAGTGGTGA